CCCAGTAGGTATATAGGAATCTGTACACCTGTTGATTGACGGTTGAGAGGCGGGGACCAAAGAGCCAGAGATCAACCCCCGCAAAACACAACTAGGTGAGTACACGACACACACACACACACGACACACACACACACAACACAACACACCACACACACACACACACAACACACACACACACACTCACCACACACACACACACAAACACACACACACACACCCACACACACACACACACACACACACACACACACACACACACGACACACACGACACACACACGACACAACACACGACACAATTACACCCAAGCATGCACCGCTCGCCTGCCGGGACTACCACTAACCTCCCATAATGGCTTCTGGTCAAACAGTGTCGATTACCGAGCGAGCGTTCTCACGGTCGTCTGGGGGGCGACATAACACCTAGTATGCGACCTCTCACAGAGCGTTCACAAGCTCCTGCTCTCGCTCTCTCTCTCTCTCTCTCCCTCTCTCTCTCTCTCTCTCTCTCAAGAGACACGAAGAAGGAAAGAGAGAGAGGGAGAGAAAAGAGGCAGGAGAAGGAATGAGGGAAGTATAAACAGATTATTTTTTACAGCTTAGCTCATTTACAATGCACCCCCATACCCTATGCTGGATCCATACACCCTCCCATACCCCTATGCAGGGGGGAGCCGGTCGGCCGAGCGGACAGCACACGGGACTTGTGATCCTGCTGTGGGCAAAACCTGCTGGGATTGATATAAGAGGAGACTACCAGGGACTTGTACTGAACTAAATTAAAAAATTACTGCCTGCAAATTAATTCAACTATAATCTCTAGGTAGGGTTGTAAATCCTAGCCCCTCTTTTCCTAATGACAGATTGTGGGCTGTAAGGGACAGGTGGGGTGAATGAATTAGTTGATAGAAGTTTCAGTCCACCTGTAGACAGGGATCTCACATCAGCTTGTATTTTATACAAGGATAAGATTTAATAAATTCAGTTATATGACTGAATACTGGCTCTGTTTAAATCAGGGATTTAAACATACATAGTCTAGCCTAGCACCATAACTATTAACAGCCAATATACAATTATACTATAAACAATAAATTAAATTGTAAAAGTATAATAAATGACTAAATGTACTGTTACCAAGTACAAAATTATATTCAATTAAATGAACTTATATGATAACTTAAAAAATAACTAAGCAAACAATTAACTTAATTTATATATTCAAGTATATATGCAATGTATTTATATTCAATTTGATATGATTTTGATCTGATTTGATATGATATAGATATAATATAGAAATTATACATTTCTTAGATGATTATTAGATATGGTGGGTAAAACTTTCCCACACCTGTGGTCCTAGGTTCGATGCCAGGTGCCGGCGAGAAACAATGGGCAAAGTTTCTTTCACCCTATGCCCCCTGTTACCTAGCAGTAAAATAGGTACCTGGGTGTTAGTCAGCTGTCACGGGCTGCTTCCTGGGGGTGGAGGGCTGGTCGAGGACCGGGCCGCGGGGATACTAAAAAAAAAAAAAAGCCCGGAAATCATCTCAAGATAACCTCAAGATATGCTATAGGTAGTAATGGGAAAGACTGTAGATGGATATAATGGACACAGGAACTGAACCCCACACAGAAGAGAGTCTGTTTCTCAATCTTAATAACGTTGAACAGCACAAGGGAAAATTGCTAAACGAAGATAGGGGGGGATAAGCTAAGACACGAGCGAGAGATTGTTTTCCTTGATTGGGTTGTTATGGTAGTGGTGAAAGTTTAACGAGACGCCCAACCACCGAGAATTTGCCTTTTCACTGAATGCTATGTCTGAGGGGACCGTGGAAAGGAAAAAAAGGAGAAATGGATTAGGAAGAGGGGGTAAGGTAGATAAGAAAGTGAAAGACCAGGACAAAAGGGAGAGGAAATAGGGAGAGACACAGCCAGGGACACGAGAGGACAATATGCAGAGCTGTAGCAGAGAGAGAGAGAGAGAGAGAGGAGAGAGAGAGAGAGAGAGAGAGAGAGAGAGAGAGAGAGAGAGGAGAGAGAGAGAGAGAGAGAGAGAGAGAGAGAGGAGAGAGAGAGAGAGGAGAGAGAGAGAGAGAGAGAGAGAGGGGGGGATATTAAGAGCTAGCGGTCCACTCCGGTTAACCCATAATAGGAAGGCTGACAACATAAGCTGTAACTGATGCTGCTCGTCTCTCTCTCCCACCCTCCTCTGCCATAGTGGAGTCGGGCAGCTAGGAGCAGCTAGGAGACAGCACAGCAACTAGGAGACAGCACAGCAACTAGGTGGTACAGGTGCTGTCTCAAATGCACCTCTCAAATGGATTCCCCTGCACCTGCTGCTCTCTCTAGTGTATACATATGTTTTCCAAAGCTGCCCCAATGTTGTTTTACTGTGCATATGTAGGTTCCAAGGTTGTTTTAGCATACACTCATACATAAACATGTATTGTCACATAATTACCCTCATTATTCGGGAGCTTTCTTCTCCTAAGCAGTCTTCGATAACTCTAAGGCCACCACAACAGCTTACTCTGGGGTCAGGGGTAAACAGAGAATTCGGATTCGTTGAGTCTGAGGTTGCTGTGTTGTTTCTCCTACCATTTACCCTGTTGAAATTGAAATTGAAATAAGTTTATTGAGGTAAAATACACACAAAGGGATGAGGTAGCTCAAGCTATTCTCACCCCGTTCAGTACATCGTGTTAATACATACATAGACACACATCACAAACAATAAACATATTACCAAACATTCTGAGAGATAAACATATACATTTCCTCCTTTACACAAGTAGTATGGAATTTACCCGTGTGACTTTTTAATATTTTTTCTGAGAAAAGATGTGAGGACAAAGGGATGTGGGGGACCGAAGTGTTGTGTGTAAGTGGAGAGAGTTAAGGGTTCAACCTCTCTAAAGAACTAGCAGTCTCCGTGGTATAGTGGTAAGACACTCGCCTGGCGTTCCGCGAGCGCTATGTCATGGGTTCGTATCCTGGCCGGGGAGGATTTACTGGGCGCAATTCCTTAACTGTAGCCTCTGTTTAACGCAACAGTAAAATGTGTACTTGGATGAAAAAACGATTCTTCGCGGCAGGGGATCGTATTCCAGGGACCTGCCCGAAACGCTACGCGTACTAGTGGCTGTACAAGAATGTAACAACTCTTGTATATATCTCAAAAAAAAAAAAAAACTCTCTGTGGGGGGTTCAGATCACAATGGTTTTATCATTGTCATATTCCATGTAGTAGTTGTGTCGACATGACCCGATTCTCTCCAATCATTTGTTAATGGTTTCCAGGTGGGAGAGGAAGGTAATTACCCGCCTTGGTAATATGATGAGTCTTGTGTTTTTAGATGTATATCACATTCACTGTCTTCAAAGTAACCACTCCTTCTTCAGTGTGGTGATAATGTCAAGGAACAAATCTCCAGACAGTGAATCTTGAACAACCACACTGTCGCTGTTTTATCATTAACTATACTGCATCTCGACATCAATTACTCAGCTAACTTCCACTACCCTAAAGCATCTTCCTTTCCTTTAGGTACTGGGCGGTAACCCAGGTCGACTACATCCACTCCAGGAACGGCACCCGCATCGGCATCATGATCCTGATGGTGTGGCTGACGGCGGTGGTCGTCTCCATAGCTCCGCTCTTTGGTTGGAAAGACCCGGACTTCCTGGTGCGGGTCAATGAGCAGAAGAAGTGTTTAGTCTCGCAGGACCTCGCCTACCAGGTGTTTGCTACCATGGCCACCTTCTACGTGCCCCTCACTGCCATCCTTATCCTCTACTGGAAGATCTTCCAGGCAGCCCGCAAGAGGATCCACAAGAGCAAGTTTGGGGGCAAGAAAGAGGCCAAGCAGAAAAAAAATAGCAACAAGCCAAAGGTGAGGCCTAAGGTAAGACAAGCCAAAGGCAGCTGGCAGAGGTTGAGGGGACAAGTGCCATGGACTTGACAAGAAATGGCCGAGGGATAAACGTTCAAGGTAATGACTTTAAGGATAAAATGTGAAGGTAAATACTTCAGGAAAGGTTAAAAGGTAAACAATTCAGGTTAATATAAGAAAGCAGCAGCTTCAAATTGAGTATTGAAGGCAAAATAAAAACTTGCTTAACTCACACTCAGAATCTTAGAGATGGAGAATCAGTAAATTTAATGAAACTAAAGATGGAGTTTGCAGTAAATTTTGCACCACCAACACATAAGCAGCACCAAAATTTTGGCAAACATAAATACGAATTCAATAGATTTTTCAATCATTTTGCCATCCTTGATAACGCTATCTCAAACTTTTGCTTGTCTTATAAAATGGCTTAGTATAGATGCTCTACAAAAATGTGTCACATCAGTTTAAAACATAGAGGTTAACCCTGTTTTTGATAATCCATTTAGTAATTCTACTCCGAATGACATTTCACCAGCAGCCACTGATTATTTACCTATTACCACTATGGCAAGCAAATGTAATTTTGTTCTATATTGGCCTGTTCCTGAGAAAAGAAAGATAAATATCCAATTTATGCCTGTGATATTTAACCTCAAAATCTTGTAACATAAACGTTATTTAAAAAAATTAAAAATCTTGTAACTTTTATCCGATTTAAACACAAATGAACTACTGATGTACTCATTGTATTTGGTTACTTAAAATAATAATAGTCATAATTTATGCTTCAACAGTAAGTGTAAACAACTGTACATGATACTGTTGTAGGGAATTACAGATTTTCAGTGTAACTATGAGTATAATCAGCATTTGTAGGCGTGCTGATAGTAAGTCTCCCTCCTTCCCTCCACAGGCTCACAGAGGAGGGGCAGACACGAAGCCCAACGGTGTAACTGAACACCAGACCACCGCCTTCACCACCATCAGTAGCGGGTCGCCGGACAAGTCGTCGAACAATGGCGCCGTCTCCGTCTCGTCCCACATTTCCGAGGTCTCCAAACTTGAGATGCTGCCGAAGGAGCATCCCAAGAAGACTAAGAAGGAGACCCTGGAAGCCAAGAGGGAGAAGAAGGCCGCTAAGACCCTCGCCATCATCACGGGAGCTTTCGTCATCTGCTGGTTGCCCTTCTTCGTCACGGCCCTGCTGATGCCCATCTGCCCAGCCTGCTACTTCTCCGACGTCATGTTCTCCATCTTCCTCTGGCTCGGGTACTTCAACTCTACCCTCAACCCCATCATCTACACCATCTTCAGTCCGGAGTTCCGCGAGGCCTTTAAGAGGATTCTCTTTGGTAGAAAGAGTAACCAAAGGTACAGGCCAGGGAAGGTCCGCTAATATTCACATTAGGTCGGGGGACATCCGGAAACTTTAATATAAGATGTAGGTGCCCTAATTATACAGAACTACAGGTATAAGAAGCTTACAGTGATATTTTTAACTCGAGTTAGTGCTTCTGTGGGAAATCACATACTATGACACACTTGTGTAAGTGGTTTGGGTATATAACCAATCACTGATGGAATTATACACATTGTGAAGTACGACTTGCGATGTGCACTTATGACTGCAAGTCAGACTCAAAAACGGATGATTTGACTCGCCAATCATCAAGTGCTAAAAAGTGGATTAGCGAACAGTTAACAGTTGATAAACGTGTGACTGTTTGCAATTGCTGTAACTAGTGAATTTGCAAATCATTTCATTGAGAGAGAATCTCAGGATTAGGTTCTAAGATGCCGTTATAACTTATTTAGTTTTGTGTAAATATACCAAAATGTTTGAAGGTGGAAATACAAAACTGAACAAAATTGTGTTGGGTGTAAAACCTTGACGTCAAAAACATGAGTTGACGAGGAACAATAGGAAAATACTGCCAACGTTGAAATATTTGTAAGAGATAGAAAAAAAACACACCTCAGTGAAAAACGATTAAAAGCCGAAAATTTTAGACCTTGTAGGATGGCATGTAAATAAAATGCCTTCCAGAAATACCAGTTTCGGAGTACAGATGACAGTTTTTAATTGTAAACTCGGTGCAAATAGTAATAAAGAAAATACTTATTTCGGTGCAGCAGAAAATATCTAAATGGCAATAAAAAAAATGCATAATATATTTCAAAACACAGACGTCATGGAATTACGTTTTCGTTCACCTCTCTGACGTCCTAAGTTAAACCTTAACAACCTCTGAGGTCTTGAGTTAACCCTAATAACCTCACGCATATCTTGTAATAAAGCAACATATGTCCACGCTAATAAAACTGTTCGAAACGACTAACAAAAATTACTTAAAACAAAAAATTATTGAAAATGGAGACACAATGCAGGGAGCATTGATAGCGGAGAACAACGATGTCCGACTACCGACAAAGACGTGACATTCAGGAGGGAATGGAAGACACATTTAGGAACGTGATAGTTTTAGTAAACAGCAGTTTACTAGTACAGAAAACCTGAAGTGTATATTTTTTCAAACTGAAACTAGCAACCCGAACTGCTAAAACTAAGTGACAACTATCAAACCGTTCACGTCTCACCACACTATACAAATTGCTCACTCTCACGGTTGGTCTGTTTATAACTTAATAAATCACGTTGTTAGAACGTAGTGGTTTTCAATGCGAGAACACTCTTACTTCTCTACCTACATATGACAGCTGGAGAAAGCAGTGGCGCCAGGACTCAGTCAAAGAACATCCCGCAATTCTATCTGAAACGGCTTCTCTGGGCTCCAGATGATCAGAGAGGAGGCGGGGGCCCAGGAGCTATGATCCAACCCCTCCCCACCGACTACACAACACGGGATAAACACCTCGCTCACGTCAAGACACGCGTCACACAGAAAGAATATTTGACAGTTGTTAAGAAGCGTGTACTAGGGAATATTGACATGTGTTTACACAACACGAGTTAAGTGTAAACAAATAAAAAACTGCGAATTTTAATCTCACGATGTAACCACACAATAATACCAATATTAACACAAAAGATATCCAAAATGCTATCACTTATCTATGTAAAAATAAACCTTTTTAATTGTACATTACCGATACATAAATTACATATATATATATATATATATATATATATATATATATATATATATATATATATATATATATATATATATATATATATATATATATATATATATATATATATATAGTGGATATGTACACACGAGTTTATTCTTAATTCCCCCCCCCCATATATGTAAATAGGCTTCTCGGTGACTATTATGTATGAGCGCGCCCCCACTCATATATTTTTATATTATATACAGCTTATTGAAAGAGAAAACTATATAGATGTAGATAACAAGGGGTAACTGCTGTACATTTCTAGAGTACTTATGCACACGATGTCATGTTTTGGTGGGTAACAATAAGGCTGTTTTGATATTATGGCTTATCTGTTGACAAAAAAATCTAATTATATGTATATAATGTAGTGTTTTGCTATACGAGATGTGTTATATAGATATATTTACTATGTCCTTTAATTTATCTCTACCTTGTGGCACTACAAGAACCATCAATTAATGTATTGGATGGGGGGAAGATCATGTAGGATGATGTAGTTAGTTTACAAGGAACCTGAACTAAGAATGACCGGAAACAATTGGTGCTTCTTGAACCACGATGCTTAAGTGGTCTTATACAAATAGACTGAAAGCTTCGAGCAACCCCGTCCACAGGCGGTCTTCATTCCATCCAGCGGCCGACCCCCAAAGATGCATTCATCAATTTTTAAACGTGCTGTTCATTCAAAATAGTCATTTTACTGAAACATAAATTTATATTATTTTATATTAGTATATTGTACATATTTAGATGCAGGCTTAGATTCTGTAGAGTTTAGAATCTACGTGCGTTTAGATTCTGTTGGCAATTATTTGCATTTGTAGTACATGGGTGATACATTTACAGAGTTACCGAACAGCAGTCATCATCAAAGAGAGATGTTCGAACGTTATCAGTTATGAATCGTATGTAAAGTGCTTCTCATTCATAAACACGAAGGAGAGTTGAGGACCAGTTAAATGAACTTCAAAAGTGTAGAGGTTCATTCTCCTCTACTGAGTTCATTGGGTTCATTCTCGTCAGTTCGTCCTCATAAAGAAAAGCTAAATGCTCATTTGTCCAATCACCAAACCCTGTGTTTATGAATTAAAAACACTTTACACACGACTCACAACTAATGACATTCGAACACCTCTCTTTGCTGACGATTGCTGTTCGAATTGCAACTCTGTAAATGCATCACCCACGTACTACAAATACAAACAATTGTCAACAGAACCTAAACACCTAACCAAACCTAAGCCTAAATATGCACATATTTTATTATTATTATTATATATACAGATATACATATATATATATATATATATATATATATATATATATATATATATATATATATATATATATATATATATATATATATATATATATATATATATATATATATATATATATATATATATATATACAGGAGCCATGATGAGGATTCGAATTTATGATCTGGGTACTCCAAGCAAACGCCCTAGACCACTGCACCATGACATGGTAAAAAGCAATGCGACCTGTGATTCCACTTAATCCTCTAGGGTTCCTGAGGCTTACATTGAAGCCTGACCAGGTTTCAGGTTCGAAACCTCCTTGTGGCTCTAATGTGATTTCTTTGTGCATTAGTTTTTTATTTGAAAAAATTCCTATATTTCATGAACAGCACGTTAATATTGATGAATGGTCTTTGGGGTCGGCCTCTGGATGGAATGAACGTAGCCTGGGTACTGGGTGACTTCAAACACAAATATATTGCTAACATAACCTAAACATCTAACACAATGCAGGAATAATTATATGTACTAAATTTTAATATTATATGTTATTTTATATGATAAAACGCCAATATTTAACACAAAGAAGCATACCTTGATTCTATTCGGGTTCTGTTCGTTCAAACATTAGTTTCTTGGAATTGTATTATCAAGTGCAACGATTTTGAAAGTAATTTTTTATGTATTTTATCATTATATATGTTTTTGATCAATGCTCATTCCAATTATTAAGTCTTTGTTAAAGGTAGTTAAATGAATGCAGTGAAGCAATGATTATATTTCCCCACTTGGGCATTATCATACCCCTAGTACAGACAATGTATCAAAATAAATGCTCAGATGCAACTTTGAAATATATGAACAGGTGATTTATATTTTTTTCTTTGATGGTGACGAGAGCAGATGGCGGGTGGAAGGGGGGGGGGGGGGGGCGGGATCCTTTAGCATAGCTTTCAAACACACGGGTAGTGGGGATTCTTTAGGATAGCCGGTTAAACACGGGTTCATTTAGAATGTCTAACATCATTTTATCACTAGTTTCGGGTAATCGCAGGAGGTGTCTGTGAAGGATCTGTCATTATTGAAGGGTAGAAACAGACGGACCAATCATATCATGCTGTCGTAAGATATAATCACCGGAAGAGGGAGTACCATACTTTATCTTCCACGAGAGATGAGACCAACTGGTATTGCCACAATGTTTTAAACACATATGTTGAATAACTCGTATATATTCCCTCTACACACGTGTTGAGGAATATAGTGAGATCTACTGTGTAGGCATTGTTTGCCTCTTGAAGAAACTTGATGTTACTTAAGAAAATCTCGTATTATTTTCCCATCCACAACCTTTCCAAAAACTTTCTCCCTGTAATTGGTAATAGTGTTAATTATATATTTGGTTTGAGTCGATTAGCATTTCGGGGACACGAATGAGATCATTGATTAGGAAAGACTGTTTGACTGCTCTTCAGAAAGTAATAAAATGCGATTTGTTAATATAATCATAATCTAATCTTAACATTTCGTAATTTATAGTAACTTTTCACAAGTAATATTCTTCACATGTGAAACAAGAAGAATATTTTTCACATGAAACAAAAATTCCCATATGAAAAGTAATATTTTTCATAAAAATACATATTAATGTAATCCAATCACTTCATGAAAAAGACCAACTCGGTTCACATTTTGTGTAAGTCTAGACTTCCTCTGTGTCGTCTTGGTCAAGGCTGTTCCTTAGGCTTCTCTTATTCTGTAGTCTTAAATATTATATTACGTTTGTGTGAACATTTTCACGTCATCTTTTTCTCTGATTCTAAACACATTCCCATAACTTTCATAGGTTTCCAGAATGTTTATAATACCTACAGGTGGAAACCAAAGCTTTATATATTTGCTTCCTGTGGAAGCCACGTTACTGAGAAATGAAGTAGACAGGTTTGATCCTGTTTAAAACAAGACAAAAATAAGCGGATTTTGTTTTTTGGCAAAATATTTCATTACAAATTACAAATATATTGAAGGGAAATAATGAACAGGTACTATTTTTAGCATAAACAGAAGGCACTCAAACAGTTTTTCGTATCACTGCAGCCCATGACTCCATTCTAGTCATCCCCGAAGCACTAATCAGTCAATATCATTCCTAAGATGCTAAGATTCATCATTCTTTTTTACTTAAATGTGGAATGTCCACCATATATTTTCCTAACTAATATATATCTGTCACCGAACCATCTCCTTTCTAGGGTTGAAGAATCATATATTATATATATATATATATATATATATATATATATATATATATATATATATATATATATATATATATATATATATATATATATATATATATATATATATAGGAAAATATGATGAAAATTATTTGGAGAATACACCCAATTTGAATTTGTTAAATTGTTTATGTATATGATGATGGTGGAATTTTCGGGAAAACACATACATACATATGTGTGTGTGTATATATATATATATATATATATATATATATATATATATATATATATATATATATATATATATATATATATATATATATATATATATACATATATACATACATATATACACACAATATATATATATATATACATATACATATATATAAACACATACACACAATATATATATATATATATTTATGTATATGTAGGTATACACACACACATGTGTGCGCGCGTGCACCTACTTGCATACTGATACACAAACTTCACCTCAGAGAAAGCTACATATTCCTCCTCCTCCGCAAATTAAATAACCTCCATAATACAAATTCAATTATACGAATTCCCCCGTCATACAGAACCACAAGGCAAAAGATTCGCCCTGGCATCGCCACCTGCGGTTAGTAAGACCTCCGTGTAAACGGACGTTCACTGGCTTCTTTAGACTACGAGAGATCTTAATAACTATTTTCTACGAACCACCCTTACCGTGCATAATATGGTGCTTCGCTGTTGTGATTGTATAACGAACGTTGTTTGTTGTTGTTGTATGTTGTAGAAAGGGCCTAAAGTTATATATATATATATATATATATATATATATATATATATATATATATATATATATATATATATATATATATATATATATATATATATCACAGGTCTTCCTTTCCTGTGTGTGTGTGTGTGTGTGTGTGTGTGTGTGTGTGTGTGTGTGTGTGTGTGTGTGTGTGTGTGTGTGTGTGTGTGTGTGTGTGTAGAGGCGACGTGTAGATATAGTACGCCATTCATTGTCGCATTATGAAAGCTCGTACCTGTAGGGGTCGAGAAGAGAATAAAAAGCATCAGCCATTTTTGTTTTCAGTCTTCGTGATGTCAACAATCTTGAGTCATTCATAAACCGTGACTTTCATGCATTCATTCACTATAAATGGGTTCCTCTTGATGTTTCCTAGGGGTGGGGGGAGGGGAAGGGGCGGGGGTTATGCGGGTTGACTTGGTGTTTGTGTATATAAACATTTATAATACGTGTCTATGTATGTAAATATTGCTTATGCTCAGAGTGTATTTAATGCTGTGCTGGCCACCATCCTCAGCTGTTCCTCGTACAATGACGAGCCTCCATTTTACGAGCAACCGCCGCCATATTTGTTTACATGGTGACGTCACAACATGGCGTCGACAAAGAATTGACATCATTTGTTTACTTCCTCCATCCCCCTTGCAGCAGCAAAGACTGTAGAGTGCCATGTGGCAAGTATGTTTGTATGCCTGTGTCACCCACCCTCCCTCTCACTTGTTGACCTCTGACCTGGGATGGTGGGCCCCCATTGGCATCACCTGCCAATTAGGATGTACATGTTAAATAAAAAAACTACTGTAACAATTGTCTTTGTTTCATTGTTTTAATATCATCCTGTTAACTCCCAAGAGAGTAAAGAGAGAAATGTATTTGTTTCATACTAGTATCTATTTGCAATTTCAGAACAAAATACAGTCACAAACAACTATATGAAAAATTGGGAAAAGAGCAGATTATGAACATTTCAACTCATCCGCCTAAATATTGTTCTAGCTGCCACTACAAACTAGGACAGAGCTAGGTCCTAGTGTCCGGACACTAGGACACAGCTCCTAGTGTCCAGACACTAGGACATAGCTCCTAGTGTCCGGATACTAGGACACAGCTCCTAGTGTCCGGACACTATGACATAGCTCCTAGTGTCCGGACACTAGGACACAGCTCCTAGTGTCCGGACACTAGGACACAGCTCCTAGTGTCCAGACACTAGGACACAGCTCGTAGTGTCCAGACACTAGGACACAGCTCCTAATGTCCAGACACTAGGACACAGCTCCTAATGTCCAGACACTAGGACACAGCTCCTAATGTCCAGACACTACCCACTAGTCGATTGAAGCACTAATATATATTCTACTGTTTAAAGCTACTTTATAAAGAGACCTTCAATCTCGACTACTTTTTGTAAAGCTGAAGACGTTAAAAGGTCTTAGATCTTATTTACATTTGAGTGTGATAAAATGCTTTAGCCCTTCCTTAGAGGATTTAAAACATCCGGGAAGAAATTGGCACCTTCGGGGAAAGATTTGAAAATTGTTTTGGAAATTGCCAAATATACTTTGGTTGTTGTTTAAAATTCGCTACTTAGAACAAAAAGTTCCAAGTAGCACGGGCTATGGTGAGCCCGTAGTGGACTTATATACTTTGGTCTTTAAAATTGGAATCAGAGCATTCATAATTGGACATGGAATTTCACATAAGGACTTGTGACTAATGAAAAGTATTCGAGACCTCCGCTAAGGACTTTTGTGAAGCATGTTAAACTTCTGGGAGGTAAGGTAATTACCAGGAGAAAGTGCTAAGTTAACTTAAGTTAGTTAAGTCATTATAACTATATAGCATTTAGACCGGACATGAGGAATTAGGATATGTAACCCTGAAACACACAACGTAACTGTCCCTATGTTCCGCTTCTTACAACTTGTAATAAAGTTGTTACAGCGTCATAAAATACATTGATAAAATGTAAATAAAAAAATATGAAATACATAAACACGTTTTAATAACGTTTTTATGACGTATTAGAACGTTGAGACAACTTGCTAGGTGTAAAAACGTGTTCGAACATTGTAGCAACGCCTTAGTTTCGTCGTGTGTTCGGCGGGTAACGCTGGAATGAAGTAGGGCGCCCAACCGACTTGATCATCGGGGGATCGAACGTCGACCTAGCAAGACGAGAGGTAAAAGAAACCTCAGGACTTGAGCCACCGGTCCGTCTCCTTCTCGTTGATGATGCCCTTCTTAATGGCCTTCCTGAAGAAGTCCCTAGTGATGTCGTCCACCACTCCGAACCTGTTCCGGCTCACAGCTGCCCAGAGAAGGGGCGGATACCAGGGGTTAAAACTGACCGGGATGGGTGTTTGGAAGTGCGTGGTTACTCGACACAATTCGGTGAGTATGAATGCACAATGTGTGTGTGTGTGTGTGTGTGTAGTCACCTAGTTGTGTGTGCGGGGGTTGAGCTCTGGCTCTTTGGTCCCGCCTCTCAACTGTCAATCAACTGGTGTACAGATTCCTGAGCCTACTGGACTCTTGTCATATCTACATTTGAAACTGTGTATGGAGTCAGCCTCCAACACAACACTACTGGATGCATTCCATTTGTTAACTACCCTGACACTGAAAAAATTCTTTCTAACGTCTCTGTCGCTCATCTGGGTACTAAGTTTCCACCTGTGTCCCCTTGTTCGTGTTCCACCCATGCTAAAGAGTTTGTCTTTTTCCACCCTGTCAATTCCAGTGAGAATTTTGTAGGTGGTTATCATGTCTCCCCTTACTTTTCTGTTTTCCAGGGTTGTGAGGTTCAGCTCCCTTAGCCTTTCCTCGTAGCTCATTCCTCTCAGTGTGTGTGTGTGTTTGCGTACGTGTGTACACGTGCACCATTAGTGTACAAGGAGTTATATGATGCAGACATCAAACTTCAACACTATTATCTAGCATCGTGTCCAAGGATACAATTCACACACAGTCAAACAAAATCACTCCACAAGAAAAAAAAAAAGGCAAAACACCCTAAATGCATTAAACCTATCTATACATGCCATTGAAAAATCCATACATAAGGAGGCAAACACACACACACACACACACACACACACACACACACACACACACACACACACACACACACACACACACACACACATGTATGGACACAAGCCAGCTGTTACACATAAAAAAACTAAATGTATATGGTTTCCAAAAATATATACATGACTATGCATCACTTTCATTAACCAGTTTATCTCGTTATGAGGCCTTTGACCCTAAGAGAGAGAGTATAGCAGTACTGGAGAAGATAATAGATTTAAGTTTATTTTTTTTTTTTTTGCAGGGATATTCCTGCGCGGGCCCTAAGCCTCTGGCTGGCCCACTAAGTGTTGCTTGTTTCTGTTTTACTTGGGCGGAGTGTGAGTATTTATGACTCGTATGGTCGCTTCAGTAAGATTTTGTCCCATGTGTTTAACAACTTATTCTGCTCTGTTGAATCTAAGTTGAAATCTTAATGGGTTTGTAACTGTGCACTGTGTTAGATAATGTTCCAGTGGTTTGTCGGGCATTTCTCCACAGTGTTGACATTTCCTCTCATCGTCCGGAACCTGTAAGCCTATTTCCCATGCACATGGGTATCCAAGCCGGATGCGATGTAAGTGTACTTCTGTTGTTCTACTGCTCCTTTTCATCAAACTAAGTAGTTCAAAGGTGGTTGAATTCTTGTACCAACACGCAGATCCTGATGTTGCAACTGCTGTGTTGTGATCAATGTACATCATTTGCATTGCTCTGTTTCTAATTACTTTCTTAATCTGTGATAGACTCTGTGGTATGTAAATGTCTACATTAATTCTCTTAGTTGCAAGTTTTGCAGGTTCGTCTGCAATGTCATTTCCTATTATTCCTACATGACTTGGCACCCAGTTGATAAATATCCGACGGCCTTGACGTTTGAGTGTTTGCATTAATGATATGACATTTGTGATCAGATAGATGTTATCACGTATATGCTCTTGTTGCAAGGTTTCAATGGCATTTCTCGAATCTGTATGTATGATAACATGTTGTCGGTGTTCAGCTACCCATGTTCCAAAGCCTTTTGAATGGCTAACATCTCTGTTTGTAAATTTGAACACCCATTTGAGAGTCTTCAACTATTTACAGAGTTACATTTACAGAGTTTCCTACCTAACATGCATATACACACACACACACACTGGCTGCCTGTCCCAGGACACAATGACTTATTATCAAACACGTAGACAAGCACTGACCTCTTCCGACAACATCGGTCCAGCCTGGACAGGTGAGGATGCTCTTGTGTCGTCCAGATTTCTTCCTTTCAACGGAAAGTACACAGTCGTTTCCCATAATGTTTATCTTCCCATTGTCCTGTAGCCATAACCTGAAGAAAACGGAGTGTTAGGGACGCAAACTCAAATTTTATACCGACCGCAACGTCGTCATCCCTTCACTTTCTAGTGTGTGAGGTTTGGTCAACAAATTTTAAAATATTTATTCATAAATGGTAGTATGTTTTCACGTCATAATAATAATAATAATAATAGCATAATATCTAATAATTATAATTAAATGGTGTATAATTTTCATATCCAATTTTAACGTAGTTCGCCATATCCCGTTTCTGTACCACTGAAAATGATAAAAATGGCCGTGATCATTAATTTTGGGCAGAAAATGCATTTGAATTCATTATATTGTGTATCAATAACCCCGTCTTCTTGGATTATTGATGAAGAGTTTGTAGCATTGTTGAACACCCTCGCCTCACACCCTTAACACCCTCGCCTTACACCCTTAACACCCTCGCCTCACCCTTAACACCCTCGCCTCACACCCTTAACACCCTCGCCTCACACCCTTCGCCTCACACCCTTAACACCCTCGCCTCACACCCTTAACACCCTCGCCTCACACCCTTAACACCCTCGCCTCACACCCTTAACACCCTCGCCTCACACCCTTAACACCCTCGCCTCACACCCTTAACACCCTCGCCTCACACCCTTAACACCCCTCGCCTCACACCCTTAACACCCTCGCCTCACACCCTTAACACCCTCGCCTCACACCCTTAACACCCTCGCCTCACACCCTTAACACCCTCGCCTCACACCCTTAACACCCTCGCCTCACACCCTTAACACCCTCGCCTTACACCCTTAACACCCTCGCCTCACACCCTTAACACCCTCGCCTCACACCCTTAACAATCGAGCCCGAACTAAGTTATTGGGAAGAATTATTTATTTACACAAATTGGACGCAAAATAATGGAACACAGTTTTCTTGTTGTTGTTGGGGAGGTGGAAGAGATTTTTTATTAAAAAACTTGTGAAAATTATATATTTAAATGAATGAATATATTTACACAAGAATATATTCACCGACAGGTGAATCTAATTTATCGGTGTATAATACACCGAGATTACTTTAGTCCTGAGCAATGTTCAGTACTAAAGTATATTTGATGGTCAGTATAGGTATTGAGGTGGTCTTAACAACCGTTCAAAGGCTGATAAGCTGATAAGCCTCAAGTCTAATACACGAACCAAACTCCACAACCATCCTGTAAAGAACCATTCAAAATTCCTCAATGGCACCCTTCAATGAACTCCCAGTCACACACCAGAGAAAACAGTCTAATTCCGACTCCACCCCCCCCCCCTCTTCTAATCACCAATTAGCGCGGCCTCAGACCCTCCACTCACCTCTCCAGTTCATGGACGACCTTGGGCACCAGTTGCTCCCAGGTCTGACTGTGGCACTGTGATATACAGAGAGCCACAGTCAGTGCCCACAGAACACCCCACACGCCACAGGGAGGCATCACAGCTAGGAGACTTTACTACGCTGGTCCTCCACTGGCTTCCTCGCCGAGCTTCGTGCTCCTCCTTCGACGATCAACCTTGCACTGCTGTCAGTCGCCCGAGTCAGGCTATATTACAGGGGATTGCGTTCGAGGTGCCAGCGAATATTTTTCTCTCGTATTCTGAGAGCTGTAGACAATACAGAGTAAGAGGAGGTTGCCATCACGTTGGAGAATGTGTAGTGAATATGTACACTACATGAAACTGTATTTGTAGTGAGAACGTAGATCTGATCGAGAGAGCTGTTGATGGTTGCAAGTGTGAGGATGGTCAGATTCTTGGGGGACCCTGGGGGACCCCGGAGTTCAGCCATAGCTGTGAATATGTTATGATGTGAAAATTGGGTGTAATAAAGATGTGGCGAGTTCTCTCCTCTAATAAATTACTACGTCAATTTATTGGTAAAATTTTCATAATAAAATCAAATTAAAATAGCCAACAAGGGTGGTAAGAGAATATAGCATATAAGTGCATATGTTGGAACCAAACAATTCTTTCTCGAATGCTGCATATTCTCTTCTCCGAGGCAAAGGGTCCTCGCAAACAAAACCAATAAAAATGTCAAAACAAAAACTGAAAGATGGATGGACGGAGAGAGGATAAATTGTATACAAAAAAACACTACAACGAAGTCCAACACACAAACATTAAAACACGAAAGTCAAATATGCAAAATTATTGAGAGGAAGGAATGCAATAATTCGCTTGCAAATAAATCTGTTGTCCGCCAGTACGAATCAATTTGCAAATTCTAGCGAATGCATATTCCCTAAAGAACAAGGGAACTGAACACTCTACATTAGATTTTAATTTTTTTTTTGTTTTGTTTTATAAACCAATTATTGAATGCAATCATGTCTAGCAACGTAACATTTCACTCGAAAAATTGGTTGCAAAAAAAATTATATATATATATATATATATATATATATATATATATATATATATATATATATATATATATATATATATATATATATATATATATATATATATATATATATATATATATATATATATATATATGGCAATGAGGGTCAGGAAGGAGAAGAAGAGTGAAAAGGGGCAAATGGAAGAGGAAAGAGAGGAGAGGTGGTCAGTGGAATAGAAGGATGAGGAATGGGAGGGTGAGCAGCCCCAAGCTAGACACAACAGGTCGGTGTTGCTGTTGCTGCAGCTTCCTGTTATGTCGCTGACGAAGCGTCAACCGTGAGGGGTAGGGGGGAGGAGAGCTGAGGCATGTTGCGTAGGGGCTGAGGGAATTGACTGAGGGAACGTGGCAGAGGAGGGAGGGGATTTAAGGGACATAGCAGAGGGGAAAGGGATCGAGCCAATATCTCCACAATCACTTGATACCTTAAATTGTCTTCTGCTCCACCTACGATATGCCCACAGAGTATTTACGCGGAGACTTACGATACCTCTACGCGCCGTCTTCTGCTCTACTACCTCAATCCTCACTCCCTCCCTCCCAGACCTTCATTTCTAGTGTCACAGGAAATCTGACCCGGGAAAAAGAACACAGAGTCACACATCCAATATCCTGTCTGTCTTCAACCAATTAGAGCCATTTCAGTCTATTTCGGTCTAAGAGTCCATTTCGGTCTAATAGGGGAGACATGGGGGTCGAATCTCTACAAAAATCTGTGCCTTATGTTTCCTCCATCAGGTGGCAGAGACAGGCATACACATTCACACATACACTCAGGGAGCCGGGGGCCGAGCGGACAGCACGCTGGCCACGTAATCCTGTGGTCCCGGGTTCGATCCGGTGAGAATCGATGGGCAGAGTTTCTTTCACCCTATGACCCTGTTACCTAGCAGTAAATAGGTACCTAGGAGTTAGTCAGCTGTCACGGGCTGCTTCCTGAGGTGTGTGTGTGTGGGGGGGGGGGGAAATAGTAGTAGTAGAAACAGTTGATTGACAGTTGAGAGGCGGGCCGAAAGAGCAGAGTTCAACCCCCGCAAGCACAACTAGGTGAATACAACTAGGTGAATACAAGGAAGGGGAGTAGCACTTCCAGTAACACGAAAGTATTAGTTTAAGAAACTAGTGAGTGGGAATACAACTAATACAACTCTCCGGCAAACAATTGAATACCTAAACAGGACTACAGCTAGCAACAACATACAAATAAAAAGGGCATAAACAACTAATCATCGGGGATTTAAATCACAGAGTTCTTGACTGGGAATCGAACCCATGCTGGAGAAGAGACGTGGAATGCAAAGTGAGTTGAAGTTATCAGACAGGTCTAAACTAACAGTATTGCATAAATAAGGAACATTCGGAAGTAGCCTCTGCATTAATCTACTGAAAATTAATCTACTGCATTAATTAATCATTAATCTAATAATTCAAAAGGCAGGGCTTAGAGGCTAGAGTTCGACCGTGTGAAACACATATAGGTGAATAGTCACACGTTTCACCCTTCGTTCGTGTGAGCAGACATAAATTAATATATATACATATACATATTATATATATATATATATATATATATATATATATATATATATATATATATATATATATATATATATATATATATATATATATATATATATGTCGTACCTAATAGCCAGAACGCACTTCTCAGCCTACTATTCAAGGCCCGATTTGCCTAATAAGCCAAGTTTTCATGAATTAATGTTTTTTCGTCTACCTAACCTACCTAACCTAACCTAACCTAGCTTTTTTTGGCTACCTAACCTAACCTTACCTATAAATATAGGTTAGGTTAGGTTAGGTAGGGTTGGTTAGGTTCGGTCATATATCTACGTTAATTTTAACTCCAATAAAAAAAATTGACCTCATACATAGAGAAAAGGGTTGCTTTATCATTTCATAAGAAAAAAATTATAGTAAATATATTAATTCAGGAAAACTTGGCTTATTAGGCAAATCGGGCCTTGAATAGTAGGCTGAGAAGTGAGTTCTGGCTACTAGGTACGACATATATATATATATATATATATATATATATATATATATATATATATATATATATATATATATGTGTGTGTGTGTGTGTGTGTGCAGGCGATGAGTCACAATAACGTGGCTGAAGTATGTTGACCAGACCACACACTAGAAGTTGAAGGGACGACGACGACGTTTCGGTCCGTCCTGGATCATTCTCAGAATGGTCCAGGACGGACCGAAACGTCGTCGTCCCTTCAACTTCTAGTGTGTGTGGTCTGGTCAACATCATATATATATATAATATATATATATATATATATATATATATATAAATATATATATATATATATATATATATGTCGTACCTAATAGCCAGAACGCACTTCTCAGCCTACTATGCAAGGCCCGATTTGCCTAATAAGCCAAGTTTTCATGAATTAATTGTTTTTCGACTACCTAACCTACCTAACCTAACCTAACCTAACTTTTTCGGCTACCTAACCAAACCTAACCTATAAAGATAGGTTAGGTTAGGTTAGGTAGGGTTGTTAGGTTCGGTCATATATCTACGTTAATTTTAACTCCAATAAAAAAAAATTGACCTCATACATAATGAAATGGGTAGCTTTATCATTTCATAAGAAAAAAATTAGAGAAAATATATTAATTCAGGAAAACTTGGCTTATTAGGCAAATCGGGCCTTGAATAGTAGGCCAAAAAGTGAGTTCTGGCTACTAGGTACGACATATATATATATATATATATATATATATATATATATATAATATATATATATATATATATATATATTCCCTCCAAACGACCATCAATATCATTCAATATTGGATGAAAGTTTTGTCATGGGAGCTTAAATTTTTCGAAGTGATTTTTTTTTTGTCCAGCCTTTCTTCGTCTTTCTTACCCATCACCATCACTCACTGTTTTCCCCTTCATTACTGTTTTCACCAATAAACTTGAATAAATCAAATTATTATTCATTTTTAATCATTTTATCACGCAGAAAATAATATAATGCATGAATCTTAGTGTTATATTTTTTAGCGGAATTTAGGGTGATTTCACATATTTGGAGTTTTAAATTACGACTTTTTTACGCAGAAAATGTGCCTATTAGTGAAAACGGCGATTGGTCATTTTTCGCCCAAATCCCCCTGCTGTTTTCAAAATACGATGCTTATCGGAAATATGACTCTTGAGCGCTAATTTTTTTAAGTAATGCTGAAGATATTTATCTAGAATGGAATTTGGTATAATTTATTACGCAAAGAGAAGCAGGAGGGTCGACTCCGACTTGCCTATGACCATCCCCGAACACCCACCAGTCCCCCTGCAAAGTTTGGTGAGGCTAGCCTCAAGTGTCTGGCCTCCATCATCGAACAAATACTCATATACAGATTCTTCTCGTATAATTCCCAGCTCTTTCGACCTGCTTCCTCTTTACATTCTCCTCTTCCCCCTTGCATCTAGATTTTCACTTCTACCCTTCCACATTTCCTTCCCATGTTCCCATTTCACTCCTCTTTCTTAGGTACACTTCCCTCTCCTCTCCTCCTAAGGTCTGTAAACACATTAGCTCTTTCTTAAAGGGCGCTGCGAATTATTTCACTATTTTCAGAGGAAAGTGTTTCGTCAGCCGGAAAGGCCTCTTTAGTGCAGTCAGGCGTTCCTCATCTTGCCTCTGTAAGACTTGCTACTCATTCGCGTCCTCACTGCTTTAGGATGAGGTACCGAGCTACGCTCCTCATATGGCTCTGTAGGAGTCTCATTCATACTGTAAACAGTATTCCGAACGTTTTCTTATCTAGGAAATCTATTTCTTATCTAGTATTCTTATCGTTTTCTTCAAGAATATATGTAATTTTTGTTTCAAGTTGTACATGCTCGGATGATTTAAAAAAAACAGTTCTTTTTTTTTAAGTTCATTTTAAAAAGTTCTTTTTTTAAAGTTCTTTCTTTTTTAATTTTTTTTAATTATAAAAAGTGGGAATTTTGAAGGAAACTTCAGTAGCTGCTTTATCAGATAATCTCTGAGGTTAGTCAGGACCCTCAAGTCTCCTTGTGAACTTTGCTTCGTCTGGACGAAGGATTCTGA